TTTTATTTATTTTTATTATACTAATATAATATTATTTTATTTTTAATTTATGGATTATTTAAGTTTTACCCTCTTTACAATAATTATTTAATCTTATTATTTCCTTTTTAATTCTTTATATATTCGAAAAAAAAAACTTCCCAATTTTTATTTTTTTATTATTTCTTAAATAATAACCTTTAGAAGGCTAAAGGCTAAAGCATTATTACTTTAGTTGAGGCATGCTACAACTTAAAACATTATTGTTTAATAGTAGTAGGGATAGTCAATATATGGTCTAGTAGGCCAATTATTCCCTTTCTTGCAAGTTCCATTTATAATTAATATAATTGTAGTGAGAGTAAACTGTGTTTATATTGATTTTTTTTTCTTTTTTACAATTCATAACGAGAGTAAAATATGTCTTGTAATTCTTTTTTTTTAAATTTTTTGGACTGTAAATTGGTACTGATGTCCTTGTCGTACAGCCTGGATATTATTTTATTTTAAAAATAATAGCAAACAAGTATCAATTTTTTTTTATATTATTCTTTTATATTATTCTTTTATATTGTTCTTTTTATAGTTTATTTTTATAAAATTCTTTTATATTGTCCTTTTTATAGTTTTTTTTTATATTATTCTTTTATATTGTTCTTTTTATAGTTTTTTTTATTATTTTTGTATATATATATATGTTTATGTATATATTTTTTCTTATATAAACTAAAAAAAATTTTAAAAATCAAATAGAAATTTTTTTTTAAAACCAAATTTAATTATTTTTTAAAAATTAAAAATTTAAATTATATATAATCGAATCGTTATCGTTACAATATGGATTCAATGTAAAATCCATATCATTTATTATATCATAACAATAAGGATTCTACATTGAATCCATACCTTTACGATAATGTTTCATATCGAATCATTATTATAATAATATGGATTCAATGTAGAATCTATATCATTTGTTATATTGTAACAATAAGGATTTTATATTGAATCTATACCTTTATGATAATGTTTCAATATCGAATTGTTATCATTACAATATAAATTCAATGTACAATCCATATTATTTGTTATTGTAACAATAACGATTCTATATTAAATCCATACCTTTACAATAATGTTTCAATATTAAATTGTTATCATCACGATATTATCGATTTGATATCACATCGAACTCAATTCAGTATCATTAACCATATTGTAACCATATTGTATCGACATCAAATCGATAATATCGTAACGATATCGAATCGATATCGTTAAGATATGAATATGATATCGATTCCATATCAATGTGATATTATTATGATATTAAATCAACATAAATATCATAACAATACCGATTTGATATCGAAATGATATTATTGTGATATTGAATTGATATTGTTAGAATTTTAAGGGTTTCTATAAAGTATTTATTTATAAATTTACATTAAATTTTATTTTAATTATTATTTATAAATTTATTATACAATTAATATTTCAGAATTTAAGTGAAACTGATTCAAATAATAAATCTGATAATGAACAAGAGGTATTTATTTATTAACTTATGATATATTTTATTTATCATTATTTATAAATTAATTATAATTAATTTTTAAAATTTAAGTAAAATTGATTTAAATAATAAATCTAATATTACACAAAAGTATTTATTTATAAATTTATATTAAATTATATTTTAATTATTATTTATAAATTTATTATACAATTAATATTTCAGAATTTAAGTAAAATTGATTCAAATAATGAATTTGTAATGAACAAGAGATATTTATTTATTAATTTATAATATATTATATTTATCATTATTATTTATAAATTCATTATAATATAATTAATATTTTAAAATTTAAGTGAAACTAATTCTAATAATGAATCTGATAATAAATAAGAGGTAATTATTTGTTAATTTATAACATATTATATTTATCATTATTATTTATAAATTTATTATAATTAAATTAATGTTTTAGAATTTATGTGAAACTGATTCTAATAATGAATCTGATAATGAATATAAGATATATAGAAAAGAAGCCAGAAAAAAATTAAAGAATTATAAAAAAAATATGGAAAAATATATGAAATCTAAGCAACAAAAATCTTTAAATTTAAATTGGAGATATAGTGACTTTATAAATTCTAGTAAAAGACCACTCTAAACTGATAGACCTAATTTACCTTGTAAAATTATTGAAAAATTATACAAAAATTATTATAAATTAGGTTGCAAATCTGGAATTTTGAATATTAGTTATAATGGAAGTAATTTAGAACCAATATCATTAAATAGTTTATCAGAACTTAATAATATTTCTAATAATATCATTAGTATAAAGAGGCTTCAAGATTACAAAATATTTCTGAAATTGAAATTTCTGACATAAAATGTAATTGCAAAAAGACTTTTTGTTCTACATTTCGATATATAGAAAGCGGTCAGTAGAAAAGGTGAAATCTAAATTTTGGTCAAAATTTATATTATTAGACCACTTGGCTAATCTCGATTATATGCATAAATTTGGCTTAATAATAAAAATTAACAAAAATTTTGGATTTCCCTTTTCTACTAACCGTCACCCATATTTGTAAAAAAAGTGAAAAATATTGTAATGTAAATTGTCATCCAGGTGAGAAGGATTGCAATAATTCACTAATGTAAAGTTCATTACTTTTATTTACAATTTGAATAAAAAAAATATTTTATAGTATAAATATATTATTTTAAAATTTTTAAATTTACTAGTTTAATTTATTTAATACAAGTTATAAATAAAAATTAAACATTAATAAATAAGCAAATTATTTATAAACCACTTAAAATATTATCCAAAGTGATCATTTGGGATATCATTTGAAATGATTATTTGGAATATCTAAAATAAGCATTTGGGAAATTGTCTGAAGTGATCATTTGGGATTATCCAAAATGAGCATTTGGGATATTATTTGAAGTGATCGTTTGGGATATCCGAAATGAGCATTTGTTATTATCTGAAGTGAGCATTTGGGATAATTTCTGAAGTGGTCATTTGGGATAAATGCGTATTTGAGACAAATGCATGTCTGAAATGTCTGAAATGATCTTCATATTTGAAATATCTCAAATGTGTATTCTAATTTGGGATATCTAAAATGCACATTTCAGACATTAACACATTTGGGATACAACATATATAAATAATGTAAATTAAAAAAAAAGAGGAAATTTAATTAAAAAAGCTGTTAATTTTAATTTTTCAATATTTGAAAAATGTGCTAAAAAAATTGCAACAAAAGTATAATCTAGTTTTAGAAATGATATTAAAAGAATTTATTATTAGTTTGATAAAGTTATATTAATAAAATAAACTTTCAAATAAATTTTAAGCATAAAAATTAAACATAAAAAAATGCTCAAAGTCAATCTATAGTAAAAGCAGTAGATTAAAGGCAAATATTAAGTGATTCTTATTAAGAATTAGCTGCTGTAGAGTATTATCTAATACGTGAAAATTCAGTTTCTAATATATGAATTGCAATCATTAATTATATGAATAATAAAATCAAAATCTCATTAGTTGATATAAAGAAAAAATGAATTAGAAAATATGAATTTTGAAATAATATAAGAAGTTGTTAATACAATGTGATTGGTATTCATCATAGTATAAAGGATATTTTAAATTATCTTATTTCACAACTATAAAAACAGAAAATATTAAAATCAAAAGATCTAATTATTCATTTACTAATTTCTGGTAATAGGCAAAATTAGAGTTCTGAATGAATCAAGTTAAGCGAGTTTTTATCAAACTAAATTAAACTCAAAAAAATCGAGTCAAGTTGAGTTGAATAAAAAAAATTTTAAACCTAAACTCGACTAGATTTGAGTTATTCATTCTGATTGAATGATAAATTATCATTCTAAAGAAACAATAAATAAAATCATATTGTTAGAAAGATAATACATTTTCTAAAGAAATAATAAATAAATCATTTTGATAGAATGATAATGCATTATTCTAAAGGAATGATAGAAAGAATTATTTTGATAGAATAATAAAACATCATTCCAAAGGAATGATAATACATCATTCTAAAGAAATTATAAAAAGTATTATTCTAATAGAATAATAAAATATTATTCTAAAGGAATGATAAATGATATTATTCTAATAGAACAATTAAATATTATTCTAAAAGAACGATAAATAAAATTATTCCAATAGAATGATAAAACATTATTCTAAAGGAATGATAGAAGAATCTTTCTGATAGAATGATAAAATATCATTCTAAAGAAATAATAAAAGAATCATTTTGATAGAACAATAAAAAATCTTTCTAAAAGAATAATAAAAGAATCATTCTGATAGAATAATAATGCATCGTTCTAAATTAATAATAAAAAGGATCATTCTAATAGAATGATAAACATCGTTCTAAAGAAATGATAAATAAAATCATTTTTAATAGAATAATAATATAATAAAATATCATTTTATCAGAATGATAAAAAGAATCATTTTAATAGAATGATAAAGCATATTTTAAAAGAATGATAAAAGAATCATAACAATAAAATGATAATAAATAATCATTCTTTTTGGAACAATAATAAATCATTCTAGTAAAATAATAAATAAATAATTGTTCTTTTTGGAATAATGATAAAATTGTTCCTTAAGAATAATAATAAATCATTATTTTTGGAACAATTATCAAATAGTTCTTTTTGAAATGATAATAAAATCATTTCTTTAAGAATGATGCATTATCATTCTATCATAATAATTTTTTCTATCATTCTTTTAGAATAATAATAAATCATTCTATTTAGAACAATAAATAAAATCGTTCCTTAAAAATGATAATAAATCGTTCTTTTTAGAACGATAATAAAATCATTCCTTAAGAATGATAATAAATTGTTCTTTTTGAAATGATAATAAATTATTCTTTTGTAATTATAATAAATCATTTCTTATGAACCTTATGAATAATAATAAATCATTCTTTTTAGAATGATAATAAAATAATTCCTTAAAAATTATAATAAATCATTCTTTTTGGAATGATAATAAAATTATTTTTTAAGAATGTTAATAATAATTTTTTGAAATAAAAATTTAATTGTTCTTTTAAAATAATACTTTTCATCATTCTATTGGAATGATCTATTATATTTCTATCAGAATGATTCTTTTATTGTTCTTTTAGAATAATGTATTATTATTCTATTAGAATGATTCTTTCTATCATTTCTTTAGAATGATACATTATCGTTCTATCAAAATGATTCTCTCTATAATTCATTTAGAATGATGTATTATCATTCTATTAAATAATTCTTTCTATCATTCCTTTAGAATAATATATTATCATTCTATTAAAACGATTCTTCTATCATTTCCTAAGAATAATATATTATCATTCTATCTGAATAATTTTTTTATACTTCCTTTAAAAAAATTTGTTAAATTTTTTCTTGAGTTTAGCTTGACTTTAGGCTTGTATTTTACTGAGTTTTACTCAACTTTAGGCTCAAATTTAGTTCAAGTTATCTTAAGTTAAGTCAAGCTTAACTTGAAACTTGACTTAAGTTAAATGAGTCAAATTTTTTAACTTATTTCAACTCGACTCAATTCAACTCATTTGACTCAAAAGTTAGCTCAGCTCATTCAAAACTAGGGATGCTAATGGTTATGGTCATAACCGGTCATAACTGTGACCAATATTAGTCGGTCAAAGGTTTCTGACCGACTGGTTGACCGATTGATTTTGACCGATTTTAACTGATTTTAACTGACCGGTTGAACAACATTTTTTAATTAGTAATTCAAGAAGTTTTTGCTTTAATTAACAATAATTTTAGTGTTGTTATTTTTTATAAATAAAAATTTTTAATTTATTCTTAAAAAAAAGATCACAATAAGCTGCATCACTAAAAATGTGAAAATAAACTTAATATGCTATGCATATCATATTTGCCTAAAAGAAATAAATACAGTAAGTAAAATAGTAAGTTTTAGCAAATGTCATATTAGTATTATTTAAAGTATAAATTAAAATTATCAATCAAGAACTTTAAATTATATTATTATTAAATGGGCTGGTCAGCAATACCGATTAGTCAACCGGTCAGTCAGTCAAAGGCCTTTGACTGACTATTACCATTCCTATTCAGAATTTTAGACAAAATGTAGAAAAAAAATCAAACATATTATGTTAACATTTATGATTTTAAATTATAAAATCTGATATCATTATGCAGATTATTATTATATTATAGCATTATATTCAAAAACTGAAATATATAGTATATTTAAATTTATGTTATATCACCTTTATGATGAATTATGATTACTTAAAAAATTTGGATTAAAAACATCTAAAATATTATAGAAATTTTAATTATACTTTAATGTAGATTGGAAATTTTTAGCATTTGTCTTATTTATCTTGGATTAAATAGTGTAAATTCCAAATATTTTTGCCTTGATATTTATGTTCAAAGGATCAAAATGGAGATTTAAATAAAGATTAATATATTGAAAAAAAATATAGAACAACATACAACAAATTATAAAGAAATTCATAGTTATATTTATTTTTCTCTTTATAATATGATTCTAATTGATCTTATAATTTTAATAAATTACAGATTCTTTTATGAATTATAATCATCTTTAGAAATTAATGTTTACAGAAATTCAAAAATGCAATTTATTTAATAATTTATTACTAAAAATTATTATAGATGAAATGTAATATTTAAATGTATCTTTACATTTTTGGAAAGATAAAAAATCACATATTTGAAAATATACATCTCTTATAAAAGATAAAAAATAAACTGTTTTACAATTTTTTAATTTAAAATTGCTTTTTAGACCATCTTATGTTCAATTAATATGAAAATTATGAAATGAATTTTATAATATATATTGTTATATTCAGAATAAAATAACAAATTCAATACAATTAAAACAACAATTATATGAATGATCATTTTTATTTCATATATCATTAAAAGAAAATTTTTCTTTTTCAAAAATATTTGTACAAAAATTATATATATTAGTATATCATAAATGAGAATTATTAGAAAAATATCAAAGAAAGCATTTTCTTATTTTAATGTAAAAAAAAAAGAATTATATTCAAGTTTCAAATTTTTTTTGCAAAACACTTAAAAATAGTAGTAATTTATTAAAAGAAATCCTTAATACAAAAAATTTTAAAATATGAAAATATAATATTATATTTTATTTATAATATATTACTTGAATTTTCAAAAATCAAAAAAATTTATATTAAATAAATTTTATAGTAATTATATTTTTTAATATCAATAAATTTTTTATATTTTTTATATTAAAGATTGAGAAATAAAAAAATTAAAAAATATATAACTCCCAGTATATATATTTATTTATTAATAATAAACCTATTTCAAGTACTAGTAGTGTTGACCTATTATTAACAAAATTGCAATCTTGAATTACAATATTAAGTTTTTTTACTATTATTAAAAGAAGAAAAATATTTAATAAGTTATTATTTATAAATTATTAACACATAATTAACAATAATCATATTTTTTACTTCAAAAAACTAGTGGTTTTTACTATAAGCAAGAAAAATTTATATATTATTTTGTATTTATCAGGTATTCGTTTACAAAATCATTAATTTATTAGCCAATAATAGTTTACTTATATTATTATATGAGAGCTAGTGATACCTGACTAAACTCTTTTTTGAAAAATTGTAATTTTGTCAAAAGTTTCGTCTCTTTAATATATTTATATGAATAAATATAAAATTATTATATTTTTTAATGTATTTTAATTCAAGGAATTTAGATCAAATTAAATATAATTTTGGCAATTAAGTAAAATAATTTCGTCATTAATAAAAAACTAGTTTCGTCATTTTAGTTTCGTCAATTTTGTCATATTAAGAAAGGTAATTTTGTCAGGTATCACTAATGAGAGCTTTGCAATAAAAAGGAAGGAAACTCAAAAAAAATTTTTTGTGTTATTAAATCTGGACTTATTTTACAAAAAAAAATCTTAGAAAGTAAAATTTTAATTTTTTAATGTTTCCTTCCTTTTTATTACAAAGCTTCTATATAATAATCTAATTTAGGTTTAAAATCTGCAGTTTAACAGATAAGAAGAAATTCTGTTATAATTATACTATTAATAATTAAATTTTTATCTATAACAATATTTTTAGAAGTATATCAGTTGCATTTTTAATATATCAAAAGTAGAAGTACAAACTGGTAAGCTGATCAATCTGGTATTTAATCTGATTATGTAACTTATATATAGATATATTGATTATTTCCATTTTTAGTTATATTCATTTCATAAAATTTTTCTAAAAATAAAAATAATTTTTTTAGAAACCTTATATAATATTATACTTATAAATGAAAATGATCAATAAAATTATATGATTTTGTATGAATTGAAAAAATAATTGGATTAATCAGATTGCATTTCGAACTAAAAGACCTATTCATATAAAAGTTAAGTTTTATTATTAATAATTGCTTTATGCTAAAATCTCATTTTTAAATTATTATCAAAGGTAACAAAATAAAATAACAGATAGCTATATAAATTAGTTTTACAAGTATTCTCATGAATTATAATATCATAATAATGTAGCTATAAAATGTGTTGTTTAGAAAAATAAGTTAATGATTAAATCAAACATCAATAAAATTACCTAATAATAATCTTTTATTTTTATAATAAAGTAGTTTTAACTAGACTCCTAATGAGTCGAGTTGAGTTGAGTTTTAAAGATAACTCGACTTTACTCAAAAAATTTGAGTCGAGTCAAGTTGAGTCAAAAAATTTTAAAAACTCTAATTTTACTTGACTCATATTATACTTAAATTTGACGCAACTCAACTCGAGTCAAATAAAAACCCCAAAATATATTAGCTGATTATATAAATAATAAAATAATAAAATTATATTAACGTTTTGGAGGCTATTATCTAATAATCTACTGATCAGAATTTCATAAAATCTGCACCATCGTATTCACCAAAATGCGCTCATCAAAACGATATATATTGCATTTCTAATAGATCACTAAATGCTTAGATATTCAAGAAAATGTGTTGAAAAATTAATTTTTGGCTTTGAAGGCCATTATCTTGATATATACATATCAGAATTTCGTGAAATTTGCACCATCGTATTTACCGAAATGTGCTTATCAAAATGATATATATTGCATTTCTAACGGATTACTGGTCACTGAGATAATTAAGAAAACGTGTTAAAAATATTCATTAAAGCTTCGTAACGGTATATTTTCGAATTTTGGGATTGTATTAAATTAAGTTACACAAGATTCCAATATAGATATATGGTTATACAAATCTTAAAAAAAATTTTTAGCTATTGAAAAATCGGAAAATCACTAAAATGAGTTACACAAAATTCCAAAATGGAAAATTGTGTAATATAAATTCACATGAGTCAACTCGAGTTGAAATGAGTCGAATTAATTTATTACTAATGACTCGACTCAAGTCAAATGAGTCAGAAAATTTTTGAATCAACTCGACTCTAACTCGAGTCAATTCATTTGACTTATGAGTCAACTCGACTCATTAGGAGTTTTAGTTTTAACAAAATTTTATATCTTTTTTATCTGTACTACTTATGATAAAATTTTATTTATAACATTATAAATATTTTATTAAATAACTCTAATATTAAATTTTTCTTAGATTATTTAATATTGTATGATTGCATTTGCTTAACTAATAATAGAAAATAGATTTCTTTAATTACTTATTTTAGTGATTTGTGTAGTATTAGAACAAATTGACTTCTGATGAATGAAATTCATAACTATTAAATATTAATATAAAAATAAGATAAATAACTTTTATTAAATATGTATTATATCATTCTCTTTTATAATATGATATTAAAAATCTTACTGTTTACTTTTTTATTTCAAAAAATTCTTCTATACTATTATATTTTAATAATAATTCTAATTCTTTATCTTAAACATTTGATAATACTTCAGATTTTTTATTTTGATTATTCAAACCTTCTATATTATACAAAATTTACCCTTAAATAATTTCTATTAGAAAAGATTAGTGTTAAGAATTGAAAGGAGAGTAGGAAAGATAATTAGAAAAGAGGTCAAAAAAATTAATTGCATATATTATAAAATAACAGAATAATAAAATATTATATCAGATTATGGGAATGACTTTAACATTAAGTATTTAAAAAAAATCTATTGTTACTTAATAGCAAACTTTAAATTGAACTTAATCAATTTTATCATTATTATATAGAAAAGATGGAAACTAATTAACTTAATTAACTCCTCACATAAATTGATCATATTTTATATAATGAAAATTACTTAAAGTAATTAAGTTAACAAAAGGCTAAGTTGTAATTCAGAATTTTTTTTGTAGGAAACTACAATTATTCAGCTAATCCTTATCAAATACATTAACTCACCTAGTGTGAATTCTATAGCATAAATAAGTTGATTTCTATTTTTAAAGTAAACTATCATATTATTTGAGTAAATTTGATTAAAGCCTCCTTGTATTGGCAAAAACGTTATTAATTCTTTAAGCTAAATGATGTTGATCACCCATATACAGCATATAAAAAATTATTTTTAAAAAAAAGTTAAGCAAATCTGCAATGTATCCCGAAAACTTTTTGGAAATGATCGACATGATGATCGGCACGTGAGCTACAGACGATTTTTTTTTCTTTTCTTAATAAACTTTATTTTAACTTTAAAAAATATATATAAGTGTATTTTTGCTCATTCTGCAACCATATAATCGGTGTAACCTGGCACACATTTCATACTTGCATCATTTAATGTATGTGACAAATCAGGCAATTAAATAATCTTATTTATCATGTCATCTGAGATCTGATAAAATTAAATAGAAAATTATTAATTTAATTAATCTGATTTATGGATATATGTATTTTAAATATAACCTCATTCACACATTTGAAGAAATAGTATTGGACATTTCAAAATAATGTTTAAATTGATAATTAAAAAAAAATTTAAAAACAAATAATTCAAATGAAAATTTATTTTTAATGGAAGATGTGATGTGACCCTCGTGAGATTTAAGAAATTAATTCAGTATAAAGCACCCATCCTACGGGATTCAACCCTGGGATCAAATACATTTTTTTTGCATTTCAATCCCGGATCATCCGGGGTTTAACCTAAAATAATTCGGGATTGAATCCCGGATTTTTGAACAGGACGGCGCCTCATAGCGTAAGTCAGAAAGGTCCGATATGCCAGAACTGCCAGAATGTGTCGCCACGATTAATGTGAGCACAGCAAATTTCCCGAGAGATATTGTCATACTTCTGATGGCATTATAACTCTTGAGATGGGGTATCGTATATTATAATTACTAAATGTAAGCACTACAGTAATAAATAAAGGGTACATCATACTTATGGTGGTACAGTAATTGTTTAATTATTTATTAATTTGTTTCTCATACACCCTCTAAAATCTCGCGTTGAGAATATCTTCATGGAGAAGTCGTAGGAGTCGGTTCCTTTCAAAGTTTAAAAATAAAATCATGAGTAATCGTAATAAACTTTGCAACAACCTTTTAATAATAAAACAAAAGTTTTGTTGGATTAGTTTGTCAAGAAAATTAGCAGATACAATCTCATTAGCCCATATTTTCGTCCTCATGATATCCTCATAAATCTTGTGCTGTGAGTGCAACTCGAAACTTTGTACCTTCTCCATAAATTTTTCATCTGGTGGAAGCTGAGACGGCTCATTTTAAAGTAAAAAAAAGATATACAAGAATTATAATGAGAAATAAATTTCATCAATTCATTCGTCCTCAAGATATTCAGCCTCATCAGTTCTTGCAACTCGGCACTACCATGAGCATTCAATATCTTCATCTGGGGGAGGAGAAGGTGATTCCTTTTCAAAGAATAAAAAAATTGTATTATAAGAATATCAATAGCTTAAACATTATCAAAATTATTAGCTTACATTGGGATATTTATCAAGAAAGTTTTGCAAAAACTCGCCGAGCCTTCCTCAAGTACCTCGGACTCAAAAATCTTGAAAATTTCTGCCTCCGTCATGAAAATTTCAATATCTGCGTTTCCTTTTCAAAATGTAAAAGATAAGAGATATAATAAAGTTATAAATTTTGCAAACACCTTACTAAAAAGCATGAGAACTTTTCTAAACAACTCGTTGTTTCTTTTTATTCCGCCTCCAAAATCTCGATTTGCTCTCGTAATTTAGCTTCCCATCCTTAAAATTTCTTTATCTGATGGAAGTGGTTGTTGTTACTATGGATGCTTTAGGAAATTGTTTACGTAGATTTTCTTTGGTAATCCTTGAAAAATTATTTATCGAATTTTTCTTTTCGTCTTCTTAGGAATCTCAAGAGTCGTTGTAACTCGAGGATTTCTACCTCTGGCATTTAATTATTTTGGTATCATTTCGTAGGTTAATTTAGCGTCAAACTCTGGAAATGTTTTAAAAAAAAGAGTTATTTTTTTTTCTGCGGTAATAATTGTTTCTGCGATTAGCTGCTTGTTGACGTAGCAGGGAAACTGTTCAAGCTGAATCATCAATAACCGCTTGCTGCTTTTACTTGGAGTTTTGTGATGAAATTTCATTTGATAAATAAATTTGAAATCTGTGTTGCAAAACTATAAAAATGCAATATCACGCTTTAATTGATTATTAGTATAAAAATTCAACATTTCAATTGAATTTACATAAGTACTCGATTCTTTAACATCACCTGTAAACCAGAGCATTCTTTGCTAAGTTTGAAAGTATTTTTTTTCATTCCAATATTTATTTAAATCTATATCTCCTTCAATTACAACCTATAATTGTTATAATTGGTAAGATTTAGAAAATTATTTATATAAAAATAATTTATTAGTAAATACTTTGCTAATTATAATAAAACATTATACAATAAATAATTAATTATATCTAATAGAACATTAGAAATAACTATGCAATTATAACTCACTGCTATTCGACATTGGTTCCTTGTAGATTGTATTGAAGAACTTTGCGAAAAAATTCATCCAAAACTTTCTTCTTATTTCGTAGTATGTTGTCTCCAGAATCTTAAGAGTCGTAACTTGACTCATCCTTAAACTCTCTTCATTTAGCGGAAGCGATACCTTGAATTATCTTTGAAATCTTTGCAAAGCTTTTGTCTTTTCGCCTTTATAGGTTTGCATTGAAGTTTTTAGTCAAGAAAATTTTGTTGTAAATCACCAAGTTGCTCTTTTTCGTCTTCAAGATACTCAACCTTCATAATCTCGAAATGCGAGAATTTCTGCCTGCGTCATGAACATTTGAAAAATTTTCATCTGAAGGAAGTGAAGGCAATTCTTTTCAAAGTGAGGAAAGATAATAATTGTAATAAAGTTTCAACAACTAATTAATAACATTAATTTACCTTGGAGTTGGTTATTAAGAACTATGTTCAACAACCCTCCGAGTTGCTTTTTTTCGTCCTCAAGAACCACAGCCTCCAAAAAACTCGAGATGCTCTTGCATTGCGAGAATTTTAACTTAGCATTTAAATATCTTCATCTGGATGAGAAGGTGGAGGATTCTTTTCAAAGTGTAAAATATCATGATAAATTTAATAATTTTAATAAATTTTGACAAAATTCTTTATTTTTTTTTCAAAACAACTCATCTTTTCATCCACGTGGAATTGAAACTCTAAAATCTCGAGCTTTTCTACTAATTGATGATTTCAGCTTTTGTCCTTATAATTTCTAATCTTGGAGGTGATCGTTGTTAGATTATGTAGATTTTATTTGGTGAGCTTTGAAAAATAATTTACCGAGTTTTTTTCTTTTCTTCTTTATCTTCAAAATCTCAAGAGAAGTTATTAACTCGAGAGATTTGTGCCTCCATCATTAAATAATGCTTTGCTGTTTTGAAGCCGTGGCGAACAGCTGATGTCTTCCTTTCGTTAGGTTCATTTTTAACCGATTTCATCCTCTGGAATTTTTTTAAAATAGAGATTTTTTTCTGCGGTATATTTGTTGCTGCGATTGCATGCCTATCTCTTGTATTTGTTCTGGTCTAATTTGTTGTCAAATTTGCTCCAGAATTTGCCATGTCTGATAGCACATAAATCGTTTACTGGATTCTGACTTCCTGGCAATATCACGCTTCATACAGCTTACATATGCGACTCCTCTATGCACTATGATCTTGTTCTTGCACCATTATTATTGGTTGTCTTGTTTTGTGTTTTCGTTTTTCCTGCTCTTGTTCCTGATTCTATAATAGTTGTTGCATTCTATTGATATTGCTGTTGCATAGCAGGAATTTTTAAAATATAGAGTTTCATCACTATGAACTACTCCAAAACAGAAAGTGGTAGGAATTAGAAAATTTGAACAGTAATGAAACGAAGTGAAAATCAGAGGGAGCACGAACCTGTAGTCCCTAACATTAGTTACTTTATCGGTTGCAGAAAGATAATATAGAATAGTATAGAAAAAGCATAGATTTGACAATTTATTCCGAACTATCCACAGATTTTAAAAAGAGTGGTTTTAAAAATTTGAGTGTTGGAAAGGGAAAATAAGCGATTCCATTAACTGAATTATAAAAAGAATGTGGTGACTGGAGAATTCAAAGACGTTACCAATATTATTAATAGTAAATTCTTTTTCTGATGATTATTTATTTTTTTCTAATGACTCCGTCGAAACCATGATGTTATATTTGTTTTGAAGCTGTTGAATTTTTAGCAGCAACAAAATCAACCTTTGGAGCAACTGCTGCAGACGATTTGTGTGTATACTATGCTTCGTTTAGAAAATGTAAGTTTCTAATTTGCCCATGGTAGAAAGAAAGGAGAGAACAGCTGTAGAATTAATTGTTGTTGCTAATGTTGCAGATTACATCATAGATGGACGTTTATAATGTGTCTATATAAATAAATAATATAAGTACTACATACTAAAATATAATTTAAATATGTT